CACTTGAGCTACAGCGCCACTTCCAGTTTTCTGGTGGTTTATTGGAGATAGGAGTCTCACGGTCTCTCCTGCCCGGGCTGGCTTTGAACCGCAATCCTCAGATTTCAGCCTCCTGAGTAGCTAGGATTACAGGCGTGAGCCACCAGCGCCCAGCTTCATGGAGAATTTTAAAGAAAGTATTGGTGAGTAGGTTGACAGATTTAACTTTTTAAAGTAATTCATCCTATGCTTTTCGTAGCAAATAAAGAGAAACATAGATGGAAAGCATGCCCGGCTTTCCCAAACTCTGAATGAAGGCAAACAGCTGGTAGCATCCGTGAGCTGCCCAGAGCTGGAGAGCCACATTGGGAAACTGGAAGAGCAGTGGTTAGCTCTGAATAAGAAAATTGACCACGAGCTCCACAGGCTGCAGACACTTCTCAAGTATCTACTCAGGCAAGTGTTCTTATGTTCTTAGCATCTGGGTGGCTTCAAGTTTTGCTGTTGTGAAACCACCGAGGGATTGTGCCATGGACTGGATCTTATATGTAGTCCCAGATGGACCTGTGTCCCCTGACAATCAGAAGCCCCTTCTAGGCTAAAGGACTCTGCTACCGGCCTCTGGAACTCATTGGCTGGGAAACATGTACACATCTATGAGCACTAGGAATTGTGCTATAATTCTTTTTTCTTTTCTTCCTTTCTTCCTTCCTTCCTTCCCTTCCTTTCTTCCTTTCTTCCTTCCTTCCTTCCTTCCCTTCCTTCCTTTCTTTCTTTCTTTCTTTCTTTCTTTCTTTCTTTCTTTCTTTCTTTCTTTCTTTCTTTCTTTCTTTCTTTCTTTCTTTCTTTCTTTTTGCCTGTCCTGAGGCTTAAACTTGGGGCCTGAACACTGACTCTCAGTTTCTTTTGCCCAAAGCTAGTGCTCTACCACTTGAGCCACAACTCCACTTCCAGCTTTTTCTCAATAATTCATTAAAAATAAGAGTGTCATGGACTTCCCTGCCTAGGCCGGCTTTGAACCATGATCCTCAGATCTCAGCCTCCTGAATAGCTGGGATTACAGGTGTGATCCACTGGAGCCCAATTTGCCTCTTCATTATTTGATTACACATAGTAAAGAGTCTTGGGGCATGGTATAATGCAGTTGAGAATCATTGTCAAGGTCATGAGCTTCTGAGTAGTAGGAAAATGTACACTAAAAGCAGGAGCTACAACATCAACAGTGCATGTCTCATTTCCTTTCCCTCCCACTTTGCTCCTGTCAGTTATAACAGAGATTCGGACGAGTTCATCAAGTGGTTGGAATCTTCTCAGCAGACTTTGAATTACTGGAAAGAACAGTCCCTCAATGCATCTCAGGACCTGGATACAATCAGGAGCAATATAGACAAGTTTTTTGTAAGTTGCCATAGAATACACTTGGATAATTATTGGTAGAAATAAATATCAAGAGAAAAGCAGCAGGGGTGCTGTGATGGCCATCAGCTAATGTGTACAGCAAATTTTTTATGACTAAAGAATCAAATGTATTGAATGTTAGTATTGAAAGTTGAAACTTAACATGGATGAACAAAAGCCAATAAAAATAGATTCTTTATATGGGGGAAAAATATATTATTTTTGTAATATAAAATGAACTTAGAATCTGGGAGTAAGCTTAGTGTTTGAGTGTTTGAATGCATGAGACTCTGGGTTTTTATCTCTCTCCAGATAATTAAATAAATAAATATGCATTTATGAAATCTTCTTTGTCTTTTCCCTTACTTGTTTTGTTTCTTATTTTTTCATATCTGTACCTATGGCTACTTCCTTTGATTTTGAAATGTAAAAAAATTTAAATATACTTGAAACTTGCACAATAGGAAAAATTTCAAATATGTTAAATAAACATTTTTGTAAGAATATATACTGCTCTTTAGAAACAAAAAATAAATAAATTAGTAATTAAGTGAAATAGATTACAGGCTCATGTTACTCAGGAGGTTGATATCTGAGGATCACAGTTCAAGGCCAGCCTGGGCAGGAAAGTCCATGAGACTCTTCATCTCTAATTAACCACTTGAAATCAGAAGTGGAACTGTGGCTCAAAGTGGTAGAGCACTAGGCTTGAGCAAAAGAGCTCAGTGACAGCACCTAGGCCCTGAGTTCAAGCCCCACCACTGACAAAAAAATAAAATAATAAAAACATCACTAGGAACTGGTGGCTCACACCTGTAATCCTAACTACTCAGGAGGCTAAGATCTGAGGATCGCAGTTCAAAGCCAGCTCAGGCAGGAAAGTCTATGAGACAGTTATCTCCAATTAACCACCAGAAAACTGGAAGTGGTGCTGTGGCTCAAGTGGTAGAGTGCTTGCTGTGAGCTGAAGAGCTCAGGGACAGCGTGCAAGCCCAGAGTTAAAGCCCCATGACTGAGAAAAAATAAGTAAGTAAATAAAAACAAAAACATCATTCAGGGATACCAGAATAGGTTAAAAAGCCATTGGGATGGTGGTGGTAGCACAGATTTATTCATAATATAAAATTTATCTACCTATCTATATATCTATATATATGGTTTTGAAAGCACTTAAGTATTTTAGATTAAAAATGCATTCGATAAGACTAAATTATTTTAATAGGACTAAAATAGCATGCTCTTACAAATTAGTTGTAATTGTGTTGGGTTTCATAGTTTCTTGTAAAACTTGACATTGAAATGCCTGTGGGGGTTTTTTTGTTTTGTTTTGTTTTGCTTTGTTTTGCTTTTGAACTCTGGGCCTGGGTGCTGTCCCTCAGCTCTTCAGCTCAAGGCGAAGCTCTACCACTTGAGCCACAGCACCACTTCCGGTTTTCTAGTGGTTTATTGGAGATAATAGTCTCATGGACATTTCTGCCTGGGCTGGCTTTGAACTGTGATCCTCAGATCTCAGCCTCCTGAGTAGCTAGGATTACAGGTGTGATCCACCAGCACTTGGTGCCTGTGTGTTTTTAAAAGATGAAATCCACTTTGTAACAAGTTTCTTGTTCTCCAGTGTCTATTTGGTACCTGGAAAAGTCCTAACACTTAGGCCAAGTGTGTACATCTGTATGTGTATGTATATATGTGTAACTGTATTCAAATATTTGCTGTTTTTGGTTGTGAACTCTACTTGTTTGACAAGCTTCTGATCTTGAAAACCTTTCTTTCAGGAATTTTCTAAGGAAGTAGATGAGAAATCCTCCCTGAAGTCTGCTGTGCTGAGTACAGGGAACCAACTTCTCCACCTGAAAGCCACAGACACAGCCACATTGCGAGCTTCGTTAGCACAGTTTGAACAGAAGTGGACCATGCTGATAACTCAACTTCCAGACATTCAAGAAAAACTTCACCAGGTAAGTGTCAAAAGACTCAGCATTTAAATCAGCACGCCCTTGTTAGCGTGACTCTGCTAGCATCCTTTTTTTTTTTTTTTCTGATTCGATAATTTTCATTAACATTGCCTATTTTTCTCTGGCACCACTGAATCTTAATTACAGGACTCTCCTCCAGTGAGATATTTCTTTCTTTTTTTTTTTTTTTGAGATCTTTCTTAAGAAAGAAATCAGGCTTAATTACTTTCTCAGCGTATCTGCCACTGCGCTAGTTTTTGTGAAGTGGTTTTTTTTTTTTTTTCATTGTTGGGGCAGGGAGTTTCACATATTCTACACTTGAATATTGGGTTGGTTTTTGTGGGTGACCTGCATAATTATGTAGCAAGACCTCTTATCAAACCAGATACCTTTAGTGATGCCCTGATTCATCTTGTTAACTGTAGTAATTAAATGGAAATCATTTTGTCCTTGCAGCTTCAGATGGAGAAATTGCCATCACGTAAAGCAATCACTGAAATGATGAGCTGGATGAATAGTGTGGAAGGTGAAATCACAGGGGAAGTGTCCAGGCACTCCCTGAATTCTGCAGCACAAGTGAAAAGCCTCCTGCAGAAGCTCAAGGTAATTATCTGAAAGGAGCCCAGGTCTTTTCACAGATTGCTTGTGAGGAGAAAAGTTAAAACAGTAGACACAGGGATGTAATTGACTTTGTTATATAATTTTTTTATTATCTTTAAGTAGTTTTGCCAAAAATTTTCAATTCGACAAGTCAGCTTTTGAGTACAATGCGTCTTGATCAGTGTCTTCTCCCCCACCTCTTCCAACCTCATCCATCGCTCAGCTTACCTGGTTCCATTTTCATTGACTATTATTACTATATTTGGCCATCTACCCTTTTTCTCTTCATTCCTCTGTTCCCTCCCCTTGACTTCTTCCTACTCCTGACACCTGGAACATGTCTCAGTTTCCTGGTGCTCATTTTGTTATTGTCAGTAGGTTATTTGAAGGAATTAGACCATTGTAGTCTTCCCCTCAGTATACTTATTTTAGTCAATTTGTTTGTGTGTGGATGCCTATAACTCTGTATAGATCTAACTTCCACAGATGAGAGAAAAACATATATTCTTTGTCCCTCTGAGCCTGACTTAGTCACTTGACCTAATTTTTCCAAGATCCTCTTGCCCTGTAAATGACATAATACTATTCTTCCTGATGGATGAATGAAATTCTATTGTATGATATATCATATATATACATATATGATATGATATATCATATTGTGATATATATGTATTTATATACTATGTGACATTTCTTGATCCATTTGTCCAATGTAGGGTACCGGGGCTATTTCCGTAACTTGGCTATGGTGAATGGTGCAGCAGTGAACATGGGTGTGCAAGGGTCTTTATTACATTCTGATTTGCAACATTCTAGGTGGATGCCCAAGGGTGCTATCATGGATCATAGGGAAGTTCTTAGTTTTTTGAGGACTCTCCAAACCACCTCCCATAGAGGTTTTGTGCTTGTTTACATTCCCACCAACAGTGTAATAGGATTCCTTTTTCCACCAGAAATGTAATTTAGAAAAGCAAATTTGGGGAGTAAGCTCTAAAGAGGTAAGTTCGTGCACATGCTTTGAGTCTTTGAGGAGCTCCCATTGGCACACTTTCTCCACCTCTCCAGTCTCATTTTACCAATCCAGACTGTTGGAACCAATGATTTTGCATCCCTCCCCTGCCTCATCCCTCCTCTCCTCCTCATGCTTGCGTGTGTGCTGCGCCTATGGCCTGGGTTGCCACTGCCCACTTTGGCAGTGGATGTCCTCTGAGTTGCCTTTGAGAGTCGATTGATTCTATTATTATTGGTCACTGACCAATCACCCTAGCTTCCAGATTAGCCGACTTCTGGATGAGAGGTCTCCACAGTGCTATTCTAGTTCCTATCTCACAGTGTCATCATGTGTTTACAAGCTCACCTTGACTCACCTCTCAAAAACACATACATAGCCCAATAGCTAGCCTTTGGGAGGTATTAATAAACGTCCTTTGAGTAAGAACAAGGAAGGCAAAGTTGGTAATCTTCTGCAAATAGATATGAATGTGGCCTTTTCCTTGATATTTCCTATTGAGTGGATTTAATTGAACATGAAACAAGGCACAAAAAATCGGTTGTGTTGGGGCAGTGTATTGGCCACTAGGAAGGCAGGATAAGGAGTCAGGTCATTGCTTTCAAAGGTCCTGCAGGCTTTGGAGGCAGAAGATGAATGGTTATGTCATCAAGATTAATAGTAACGTCAGATTTTGCTGTTACCTGCTGTCACACTCTAACTTGAATACATGGTAGAATAATTAATAGTCTACACAGTCTCCAGTAAACTAGCACATAGCATATATCTTACGGTTCCCCTCCTCCTCCCCCCTTCCCCCCCACACACAGAGGTCTACATAGGAAATGTTAGAACTTTCTGGATAAAACTTAGCTGGGCATCAGTGGCTCTCACCTGTAATCTTAGCTACTCAGAAGGCTGAGATCTGAGGATTGCGGTTCAAAGCCAACCCAGGCAAGAATAGTTTATGAGACTCTTATCTCCAATTAACCACCAGGAAATCAGAATGGTGCTGTGGCTCAAGTGGTAGAGTGCTTTCTGTAAGCTAAAGAGCTCAGGGACAGCACCAAGGCTCAGAGTTCAAGCCCCGTCACCAACAAAAAACAAACAAAACAACTCCACAACTATCAGACTTGACAGAAACATGTCTAGCACTGGGTGTTTTTAGGATTGCTATAGCACCTAGAGCAATCCATAACACACACACATACACACACACACACACACACACGCACACACACACACACACGCCTAGACCATCCCCCAAGGAGCAGAGAAGCTGCCTAAATTGGCAAAGTTCCTTAAAGGCATCCAGAGTTTTCTGGGAGAACTTTACTTCCATTTCCCAGGCTGTGTCCACGAGCCCTCAGGGTGGTTCAGAAACTTCAGAGCTCTCACAATGGCCTCTCATAAGAACCCTCAGTCAGACCGAGGTCCTGGTCATTTGTTCCAGTGACTGTAGCTGCACCCTTGAACTCTGCAGGTTGTTTGAAATCAGCATGTCCTCCATTCCAAGAATGTACAGTTCCCAGAATCTCCACTCCAAGCAGCCTGCTGATGAGGGAATGGAGAGGCTAGAAAGCTGCTGCTCCCAGTGGTAGCTGGATTCTTTGAGGGAGCTCAGCACCCCCGAGAGCCCAGCCATGGGGAAATCTGCTTCATCTGCCAGGCTTCCATCCAGACTTGCAGTGTTTAATTGTGTGTGTTTGTGTGTTCCAGGAGTTTAGGATGGAGATGGACTACAAACAGTGGATAGTCGACTTCGTTAACCAGTCGTTACTTCAGCTGAGCACCTGTGATGTGGAAAGCAAACGCTATGAGAGGACGGAGTTTGCAGAGCACCTGGGGGAGATGAACCGCCAATGGCAACGAGTACACGGAACCCTAAATAGAAAGGTGTGCTTGGGGGTCACAGTCAGATGCAAGATTCGGTCCCACAAGATACCACTCTCCAAATAAATTTAAACAGCATTCAGATAGTTGAGTTACAATTAAGGCTAATAATCATCTAAATTATAGGCTTCTTCGTTAATTCTGATTTACCATTCTTCAGGGTTGCTCCACATATGAAAGACTAGGAAAATAATTTTTATATCTTTTCTTTGGGAAATTTAGCTAGCTATACAAATGAAAAGGAGAAATTTTAAGAGGTGTCAAATTTACCAGGTACAGTAGCCCACATCTGTAATCCCAGCTATTTGGGAGGTAGAAATGAGGATCATGGTTTGAGATCCCTCCCCGCCCAAAAAAAAAAAAATAGCAAGACACATCTCAGCAAATAAGCTGGGCATAGCGGTTCACATCTCTAATCTTAGCTACTTATATGGGAGGTATAGTTAAGAGGAACTCAGTCAATTGCCCAGGCCAGCCCTGGGCAAAAAGCTCAAGACCTTATCTGAAACATAGGACTAGAAATGTGGCCACCATAGTTGACCTACTTGGTGCTCTGCCTCTGAATGCCTACCTAACAAGCACCAAAATCTGAAATTCAGAACCCTAGTGTCATCCCTCCTCTCCTCTTTGCCTCTTTTGAACATCTGATTTTCAAGGCCACTAAAAGATTAGGGATGGTGACACTCTTTATGAAATGAAGAGTCAAAGCTATTTAGGCTTTGAAAAAATTGAAAAGGAAAAAAAATACATGTGGCTTTTTGGTAGCTCCATAATTCTTGAAAAGATACAATGTACTCAAAAATTATATATTTGCATATATACATATATATATATTTGTAGTACCAAGTTGTTCTCTTTCTGTATAGAGAATGATACAAATGATTTATACAGTTCATACTCAAAGACACAAACAGACAAAGAGAATCAGAAAGCGCACAGCGAGGAATCTGTAGGCAGCAGATAGCCCTGAAAATCTGTTACATCAGTTATCAGATATTCAAAATATAACACACATTAAATTAGCAGATTTTAGGGCTGGGAAGTTGGCTCAGTGGTAGAGCGCTTGCCTTGCATGCTTGAGGCCCTGGGTTCGATTCCTCAGCACCACATAAGCAAAAAAGAAAAAAGCCGGAAGTGACGCTGTGACTCAAGTGGTAGAGCGCTAGCCTTGAGCTGAAGAGCTGAGGGACAGCGCCCAGGCCCAGAGTTCAGGCCCCACGACTGGACCCCCAAAAAAAAAAACCTTTTCATGATATTTTTTTATTTACTACTTCTAGATACAACATTTGGAACAACTTTTGGAAAGTATCTCTGAGAATGAAAACAAAATACAGATTTTGAACAGTTGGTTTGAGGCTCAAGAAGAGAAGCTGAAGACTTTACAAAAACCTGAAAGTGTGATCTCCATCGAGAAGCTGCTCCTGGACTGTCAGGTGAGCGACCCAGCAGCGTCCTGCCCAGCATGGCGGGCGGGTTGGGCTGCAGAGTCCCACTTTTGCCCCTGAAGAAGGATGCAGAGTTGTTGTGATTTCTGGAGATTCCACTTTAGTTCCTGCTGTAGTCACAGCCATATGTTTTTTAGCAATAAGAATGCTCTGTATGTATGTGGAGGTGGGGGGCAGGGGGGAGAGGGGGAGTCCTAGGCTTGAGCTCAGGGCCTGGGCACTGTCCCTTTGCTTTTCTGCCCAAAGCTAGCCACTATACCACTTGAGCTACTACTCTGCTTCCAGTTTTTTGCTGATTAGTTGGAGATGAGAGTCTCAATAGGCTGACTTCAAACCTCCGTCCTCAGACATCAGCCTCCTGAGTAGCTAGGATTACTGGCATGAGCCACCAGTGCCTGACCAGGGATGATTTCTGACAGATGCATTGTTAGGTGATTCTCTCTCACATACAATGTACTTTGTACCAAACTGTGCTTATGCAAATCTAGCTGGAATGTATGGGCCCACCCTTCTGTATGTGGTATACAACTGTATGTATCCACTCATATCCATTAGATAATTATCCATGAATTGTACAGAATTGCAAGGTATAATCAGCAAAAGGTATTTTCTGGGTTACTCTTGCTTTTAAGGTGGTTGAATAGTACTTCTGAGGGAGAAAAAATGTTCACAGGAAATTCGAGTTTACAGGGCTTTCCATTTTTGTGGTGTTTATTATATTACCTGATCTCTCCTTAGGATCTCACTGTGTGCTTGGTGGGAGGGAGAGCCTTTCTTCTCCTATTGTGTCTTGCGTTTCCAAAGGACCACTTGTCTCTTAGAGCTACCATCTGAGTCACCGATGCGTGTGAGGGTGTCGTCCGCTGGCCGTGGCACATCGTCCTTGAGAGGCCCTCTCCCAAGTGGGGGCTGAGCCTCTCTAAGTGGCACCCCTCCCTTCCCCCCCACCCCATGTCCCTTCCCAGCCAGACTCAGCAGCACCTTGCTCCTGCCCCAACAGCACAAGAGCATCGCACCTCTCCGCGTCAGGGCTGGAAGGTGGGGCCAGGCCCCACTTCCGCTGCAAAGGCTACAGGATCGCACTGGGCCTGCAGTGTGAGCAGCAGCCTCATCTGAGAAAATCACTCTGTCCAGCTCTCCATCTCTACCTTACAGCCAACCTCGGATTCAATGTCCTTCCTCCATAGAGAGGTTAGGTTCCCCGACTCAAGGCAGAGCCCAGGACCACCTTCAATCTCTGCCTCTGCCCCAGGGACTCTACATCCTCCCTCCCAAGGTACTCCTGCTGTCTCGTCCATGGGCACAGACCCGTGCTACCTCAGCCGCCTCCCGCCACCTGCAGCCTCCTCCGTGCCTCCTTCCAGTCTTTCTCCATACTCGCACTGCTTCGAGGATGCTGCCGAAAGCACACACCACCTTCTTTCCCCATTGGGAAACCCTTCACCGGCTCTCTCTTACCCACAGATCGAGGTTCTGATGTTTGGGGGCATTTGTCATTAGGTTACAGTTCACAAGCCACCGTGAGGGGAGAATGGAGGAAATGGCATCTATTGAATGCTGTCGTTATAAGACCGTGACATTGGCCTTATAAAGACGATGCCATTTGTAGGTGAGGAAAGTGAGTCATAATAAACCAAGTCAGTACTGAACTCATTGGGGTCACACAGCACTAGAGTGGCCTCAGCCAACCCCCTCAGTCAGACCCTTCTCAGCTGCAGCCTCCTCACCCAGCTCGCTCTCCTGCCCAACCAGCCCTGGGGCCCCTGTCTCCCGGTGCGGTGTGAGTCTCCAGCAATGGTCTGTATGCTGGCTGCTGCTCAGAGATGTCCCAGTAAGCAGCAGGCAGCATCCAACCATGGAGCCGATGTAGTGTGAGCAGTTTCTGGGGTTTCTGAACCTGACATCTTCTCACACATCTGTGAGTGAGCACCTGGGCAGGGCCTCACCTCCTGATGCTCAGATGTTTTCAGATGCCATTCTGAGCCCACTCTGCCCTGCATTCATCTTCAAGAGTTGCAGATAACCTAAGCACGTCCTCTATCAGTGATTGTCTTTTGTTTTGCTTCATTCTGTTTTGATAGCGCTACCCATGGATTTGAGTTAGGTTTAGCTGTTTTTTTTTTTTTTCCCTTTTGGCTGGTCATGCAGCTTGAACGTGGGGCCTAGACATTGACTCTGAGCTCTTTTGCTCAAGTCTATCACTCTACCACTTTGAGCCACAATGCCACCTCTGGTTTTCTGGTGTTTAATTGGAGATAAAAGTCTCACAGACTTTCCTGCCCGGCCTAACTTTGAACTGCGATCCTCAGATCTCAATCTCCAGCTAAGTTTAACTCTTATGTCCAAAGCCTCACCACTACCTGAAATTAAATAGATCACAGAGCTATAGATATGACTCAATGGTATGTGCAAGGCCCTGAGTTCTACTCCCAGCACTATCCCCTCCCCCCCCACAAAAAAAGACAACATTCAACCACATGCAGGAACATTCCTTAGCTCATGAGCTCAACTCCAGGCTTTCATTAATTTTACCAACACAAAACCATTTCAAATATTCACAATGCCAGGCACCGGTGGCTCACACCTGTAATCCTAGCAACTCAGGAGGCTGAGATCTGAGGATCGCGGTTCAAAGCCAGCCTGGACAAGAAAGTCCAGGAGAATCTTATCTCCAATAAACCACTAGAAAACCGGAAGTGGCACTGTGGCTCAAGTGGTAGAGCACTAGCCTTGAGCTGAAGAGCTCAGGGACAGCGCCCACGCCCAGACTGGCCCCATGACTGAAAAGAAAAAATCAAATATTCATATGCCCCTTGCAAATGACTCAGGTTGACTTAAATGGAAAATGCAGAAGCCCTGTGGTGGCCTCATGGGATGTCGTCTTCCTCGGTCAGATGCACACTGGCCATTTCTGAGCTAGGTTGTATCTAGTTGTACCTGGAGGTAGTTTAACCTGTAAGTATAATTTGCAGACCTGCCTGGCCAGCATCATTGCTCATCAGTCCCTACCTGAAAATTGCATTGAATTAGCAGCAGTCTGATCTCTGTGCCTTTCCCATGCTGCTGACTGCAGCATTCTGGGTAAACCTGCCCTTTCCCAATACCATCTGCACACAGGCTTTCTTTTATCTTGGCAGAACTCAGACCAGCAGCCCTGACTTACATTCTTCCTATGCACCCCATTCTTTCCATTCACTTCTTTTTCCCTATTTTATTTTACTTTATTTTTTTAATCTTGCTTTCTTAGATGCATCTTTGTAAAAAGACTGTGTCAAGACAGAGATGGACATAAATTAATAATCTAGTCTGTAGTGCATTGTGTGTCAGATGGAGGCTGTGCTGCTCTCCTGGCTGCCTGTCCAGCCTGTGGCTCATTAGAGGCTTGCTAAGCACAGAGCACTGGCAGGTGCTTAGGAGTCACCTGAGGGAATCTAGTAATAGACCTAAAAGATGCTTTTCTGCAAGTATAATTTTGGCTTGTTTTTACTACTCATTGATTATCAGAAATAAAATGATAAATGAACATTTTAATGACTTATCCTAGGATCTTTCGGTTCAGGAAGTTTTCCAGAGTGACATTTTTTTCCGGCAGACTTTGGGATTGACATATTCTGAAGGACTTCCAAAAGTTTCAGGGAAGTGGGAGAAAACCAAGCTTGGCATATTGTAATTATCAAGGAAAACTATGTTGTTGGCTGACTTAGGGAGGTTTGAAGTGAGATTATTAATCCCTCACGTATGATAGCTCTGTACACAAGCTTACAGCTAACAGAAGTACATTCATGATAATTCAAAGAAATTTGGATTATATATGTGTATGTATTCATATAATGCTACTTACTTGTATACTCCAGCAACTTTTGTTGGGGCTTGAACTCAGGACTTGGGTGCTAGTCCTGAGCTATTTTTGCTTGAGGCTAGTGCTCTACCATTTAAACCACAGCTTCACTTCCAGCATTTTGGTAGTTCAATAAAGATAAGAATCTCATGGACTTTCCTGCTGGAGCTGGCTTCAAACTTGGATCCTCATATCTCAGCCTCCTGAGTAGATAGGATTATAGGCATGAGCCACTGGCACCCAGCTTCCACCGACATTTTTTACTTGCAAAGAGGAAATTTCTGTCTCCTGTACCTCATTGGTGATTTTGTAATATTGTGCATTGAAAATCTTTTTCCTCTTACCCTTCCAGGATATAGAAAATCAACTTGCAGTGAAATCCAAAGCATTGACTGAGTTGAGACAAAGCCACTTGGCTCTGGGGAGTGAGGACATGCCCCTGTTAGAAGACATCGCATCTGGCATTGATGAGCTGTTTCTTAAGAAGAGCCATGTGTGTAATCAGGTACAAATATGTACTATATCAGAAAGTACCGAAAAACAATGCTGAGGAAAGTATTGGAGGGGAGGAAGTATCCTTATTATACTACAATGATTATTAACTTGCAGATTATACTACAATATCCTTTTACATACTAAGTCATTCAAGGCAAAACCCCAGCTCCCAACAACACAGGCAGGAAATCCATTTAACTCTCTCTGTTTTGTCTAGGAGACTCAGGTCTCCATCTCCCCAAAGCCAGCAGCAGAGCAACTAGCATTGTTCTCAGGCCTGGAGAGGCAGCTCAGATTTCCCCACATACAGGGTAGGGGTGTCAGAATCAGGGGTCAGCTGAAGAACTAGGGTGGGAAGGCACAGCACGGAGCTGGGGAGGGGACAAATGTGTGGATGCTGGGAATGCAGTTCCATGTGTCCACATGGGAGGACTACCACAGGAGCGCAGCAGCTCGACCGCCCCACGGCCATGAGAGGAAATCCTAAATACTTAGGCATTGTAGTGGACCCACGTTTGCTCCAGAATCTTTATTGTGAGTTATTTGTCCACTTCTCAAACCTACCTCAACCTCATGTGCCAAGTAGAAGTTGGAAATCAACTAGCTAATGAATGAAATTCACAAGCAACCTTCAGCCTCCTTCCTTCCCCAGGGCTCCAAGCAGGAAAATAAGGAGGAGCTCATTCATTTGTTACTATCAAGAGAAAGAGAAAGAAAAACAATGAATCTTCTCCACAAAGAGCTTCTAGGCAGTAAAGGAAATGCACATGAGCAGATCATTGCAATGCAGTCACAATATGATTTTTTTTTAAATACATAGCCGGGTGTCAGTGGCTCATGCCTGAAATCCTAGCTACTCAGGAGGCTCAGATCTGAGGATCGTGGTTCAAAGCCAGCCCGGGCAGGAAAGTCCATGAGACTCTTATCTCCAGTAAACCACCAAAAAACAAGAAGTGGCGCTGTGGCTCAACTGGTAGAATGCTTGTCTTGAGCTGAAGAGCTGAGGAACAACACCCAGGCCCAGAGTTCAAGCTCCATAACTGGCAAAAAAAAATACACAGGGTAGGCACAGAAGGTGACTCAGTGGTAAAGTGCTTGCCTTGCATGTATGAGGCCCTCGGTTCAATTCCTCAGCACCACATAAACAGAAAAAGCCAGAATTGGTGCTGTGGCTCAAGTGGTAGGGCACTAGCCTTGAGCTGAAGAGCTGAGGGACAGTGCCCAGTCCCAGAGTTCAAGCCCCATGACTGACAACAACAACAACAACAACAAATACATAGGGAAAAGAAATTAACTGGGTAATAAATGTTAAAAACAAACAAACATGAAGATAACTGGGCACCAGTGGCTCATGCCTATAATCCTAACTACTCAGGAAGCTGAGATCTGAGAATGTGTTGAAGCCAACCCAGGCAGGAAAGTCTATGAGACTCTTATCTTCAATTAGCCACCCAAGAAAGCTGAAAGTAGAACTGTAGCTCAAGTGGGAGAGTAGTAGCCTTGAGTGAAAAAATGCCCAGGCCCTGAATTCAAGCCCCAGGACCAGCACACACACAATATGTAGACAACCTGTGCATGTTTATAACTCCAACCTTCAAGAGGTTGAAGCAAGAAGATTGTGAATTCAAGGCCAGCCTGGACTGTAGTGAAATTTTATCTCAATAAACAAAACAGATTATACTACAAGTGACCAGTAAGCACAAAGATGTTCAATGTCATTATCAAGGCAATGAAAATCAAAACCACAATACAGTACCAATTTACACCCACAAGGATGGCTGTAATAAAAAAAAAGACAATAATAAGTAACAAGCATAAGCAAAGGAAAAAAGCAAGGGAGAAACTGAAACCTTCATACACTGCTGGTGGGGATATAAAATGATCTAGTTGCTCTGAAAATCAGTGTGGCAGCTCCTCAAAACATTAAACATAAAGTTAAACATGTGACTCAGCAATTCCATTCTTAGGTAAGAAACCCCCACATTAGAATAGATTCACACCTGGGCTTGGAAGGTGGCTCAGTGGTAGAGCGCTTGCCTTGCATGCATGAGGCCCTGGGTTCGATTCCTCAGCACCACATAAGCAAAAAAAAAAAGCCGGAAGTGGCACTGTGGCTCAAGTGATAGAATGCTAGCCTTGAGCTGAAGAGCTGAGGGACAGTGCCCAGGCCCAGAGTTCAGGTCCACGACCAGACTCCCTCCCCCCCTCAAAAAAAATAGATTCACACTGAAAGTTTGGACACGAATGGTTCATAGCATAGTAATTTATAGTAGCCCCAAAGTGGAAACAACCCATTGTCTATTGTTACAAATATATAAGCCAAAGGTGGTATGTCCACACACTGGAATCGTATTCAGCCATAATAAAGAATGAAATAACAATACATTCTACCACATTGATAGCCTTGAAAACAACACTAAGCAAAAGAAGCTGGTTACAAAAGACTGCACATTGTTGATTCCATTTATATGACATGTTCGGCCCAGGCAGAGCTGTAGAAAGTAGAAAAGGGGCTGGAGGAGAATGAGGAATAACTACAAATGAATATGAGCCTTCTTTTGGGGAGAGAAGAAAATGTTCTACAGTTAATTGTGAAGATTGGCCTCTATAGGTGAATTGTGTGGTAGGTGCAGTGTGTCTCAGGAGAGTCTTATTTTCAAAGGCAGAAGAGGTGAGCTTAGAGTATCGATTAGCTCTAAAGCAGTGATCACTCCAGTCTACACTCCAGGATGGTTTTCTATCTGCATTCTTGGGTGGGTTATCACACTAAGCCTCAAATGCCTGATCTATAAATCACCTGAAGTCATTTTTGGTAGGTAATAAAATGTTTCAGCATTATCGAAGCATACCTGTGGATAGAATATGCCTGCCATTGCTTTTTGTAGCTGGGCATTAAACAAGTTGCTAGGGCAGAAAGCTAGTAGAGAGCTGGACCTGTGTGCTTGCCTCTTCTTGCCAGCGATCTTCCCCTGAGCCCTTTCTCCCTAGGCTGATACTCTTTTAAATCTACTCAACTTACTTTTTTCACTTCATGCTAGCACTCTACTATTTGAACTACAGATCTTTTTATAGCTTTTTGGTGGTTAATTGGAGAACAGACACTCATGGACAGGCTGGCTTTAGACCCTGATCCTCAAAACTCAGCCTCCTAAGTAGCTAGGATTACAGGCATGAGCTACCAGTGCCCAGCAGAGACTTCTCATCTTAAGCCTCTTTCCCCCTCTCCCATCCTAAAACACAGCCCTCTCTGAGACTTTTGTTTGTTGGTTGGTTGGTCCAGAGACTTGAATTCAGTACCTGGGCACTGTCCCTGAGATCTTTTGCTCAAGGCTAGCACTCTACCACTTGGAGCCATAGATCCACTTCCAGCTTTTTCTGTGATTAATTAGAAATATGTCTCATGGACTTTCCTGCCCAGCTGGCTTCATACCGCAGCTCTCAGATCTCAGCCTCCTGAGAAGCTGGAATTACAAGCGTGAGCCACTGGTGCCAAGCTCTTCTCTGAGATTTTTATGTTCCTTGGCCTCCCTTCCCATTTGCAGCAAATCTTGGAAGACCCTGCTGTATGTACTCTCAAATCAGAATGCCTAAAATCTCATTGATGGTAGATTCCCAGGAGAGGAGAGGAATGAGAGACGGCGTCTTATGGATTGTAAGTCAAGGTGTGTCTGCACTACTTTCCACCTAGGTCACACAGCTCATTGCCTGCATGCAGGCAGTGCTGCAGGAGTGGAGCGCATACGACCAGCTGTATGAGGAGGTGAACACCATGGCTATCCGCTTTGGGTACTGCCTGGAGCACTGCAAACCCGCCATTGTATCCCTGGAGGCCTTGAGATGCCAAGTGGAGAACCTTCAGGTAAATGAGCCAGAGCATGGCATTGGGCAGATGGAAGCTTGCACAGCAGTGGACATGTATGTGTTTGTGCTTTCCACAGCGGTAGCTGAGGTAGAGACTAAATTTCTAAAGTGGAATCCCATAAGCAAACCCCGGATTGAATTTTCCTTCCCATAGCTGTGTTATTTCACAGTTTGTGTATGTGTGTCCATGTCCTCAGCCCTGAGCGAGTTCCTTCTTGTACTCCTGATCATTTCTCGCTGTCCTGTAAGGTCTGCATGCTTGGGTTGTGGTGAAGCAGAAAACGCCAGCACACTGCTGTCTTCATGGGAGGTGGGCGGCCATCGGGACCTGACCTTCCCACTGTGTTCTTAGTCCTTGCTAGATGAAGCGGAGAGCAGCGAAGGCAATTGGGAGAAACTTGAGGAGGTCGTCAGCAAACTCAAAGAGTCCTGCCCCTCCATCGCTGAAATAATGGAAGAGAAGTGTCAGGATGCGCGGGCGAGGTACGCTCCACATGCAATCGCAAGGACGGGCCAGGCAGCTTGACCTTCCTCCCTTGTGGCCAGGGAGGTGACGGGGCCTTGTAGCGTCTGCTGCATCCTCTGAGATGAGTGGCGTCATCTTATTCTGGCCTCGATCTTGGAAGGCTCTAGTTCACTAAATAAGGCTCCGTTTCTCCAGAACTGTTGTACAGCTCACGCAGTATTCCAGATAGTCTAGAAAAGGCCTGTTTACAGCCCAACATGAAATCCCATGCACCACCTCACACCCAACACTGAGGCAGTCTGCATCATAAGATGTATTGTAAGGGGCTGGGAAGGTGGCTCCGTGGTAGAGCGCTTGCCTTGCATGCCTGAGGCCCTGGGTTCGATACCTCAGTACCACATAAGCAGAAAAAGCCGGAAGTGGCGCTGTAGCTCAAGTGGTAGAGCACTAGCCTTGAGCAAAATAAGCTCAGGGACAGCACCCAGGCCCTGAGTTTGAGCCCCACGACTGACAGAAGAAAAAAAAAAATATGTTGTAAGAGAGGGAAAATGGTTGTTGAAGTAACTCTTGGGGAGGTTACTATGAGGCTGGAAGGAATTCCTTGCTAAGCTTCATCTCGTGAAGTGGGAAAGTTCCTAGAAGGAGTTTGGAAATAACATGGCTATGGGAAGGAAAATTCAACCCAGGGTTTGCTTATGGGATTCCACTTTAGAAATTTAGTCTTTACCTCAGCTACCGCTGTGGAAAGTTGACCAAAGGCAATTGATGAAGAGGTTGGGCTGCCTTGAGCATTCCCTTCCCCTTCCTTCCTGCACATCCAGGGCTCTAGGAAGTAAGCCCTGAACACCTGTCACGCGTCCTCGGGCCAGTCCTTCTTGGAGAGGGAAAACGACCACTCTCCTACATGAGGCAGTGCATTCGCTATTCAGACAATGTAGGTTACCAGTGCATATACAAGATCATCCATTTCACTTAAAATTAAATGTTCTAGAGTAGGTACAGGGGCTCATGTCTGTGATCCCAGTTTCTCAGGAAAACTGTGGTTTGATAGCCTAGGCAAAATATTAACATGACCTCATCTCAACATGTAAGCCAGACAGAAGTGAGTCACATCTGTAATCCCAACCACACAAGGCTATAGGTAGGAGGATCATGGTCTGAGGCTTTCCCCTGGCAAAAGTAAAGAAAAATGAAGTGCTCAAAACCTGCCTAGCCAGTGCAGTCCTGAGTTCAAACTTCAGTATTGTAAAAAATAAGTAAATAAAAATTAAGGTTGTTTTTTCCTTAGCTTAAGTTTTTTATTTAATTTTTTAATTTAATAATATGATTCATTTAAAGGTACTTTCTAAGCAGTGCTTTCTCCACCTTTGCCTAAGAGGCATTCAGAGAGTAAAACAGACCATTCTTGCCAATCACAAATTTGGTCATTTTGTTATTATAAAATCAAGTAAATGGCCTGATTTGGATTTTTGTTTATATAACAGTGATTTTTTTTTTTTTTTGCCGGTCATGGGGCCTGAACTCTAGGCCTAGGCACTGTCCCTCAGCTCTTCAGCTCAAGGCTAGTGCTCTACCACTTGAGCCATAGCACCACTTCCAGCTTTTTCTGCTTATGTGGTGCTGAGGAATCGAACCCAGGGCCTCATGCATGCAAGGCAAGCACTCTACCACTGAGCCA